CCCTCTGCTCTTCACCTCCTCTCCCTCTGCTCTTCACCTCCTCTCCCTCAGGGTGGTGTCCTCTCTAATGGCCTCTCCTCTCCGGGTGTCAGGACACTGACAGCAGCGCTGCTCCCAGAGGAGCCTGAAGAGGCTGCGATCCACGAGCTTCCTCCCGTCAGCTGTCCGAGCTTAAAGGCACGCTGGAAGGTTTTCTGCCAAGCGGGTGTTCAACACCTCCTCGTCATCAGTTTCTCACTCACTCTTAATTGAATACAAACACGGCGCTGAGAAGGAAACAGTTTTTTTAGTGTAAATTTTAAAGTCTCAAAGGCTAAAATTACACGTAGTCATTTCAGAAGGCTGTTATTTGGTAAATCCATATATTTTGTTAAATTGTTAGGCTTGGCTGCTCTAATTTATAACTACTGTCTTTTTTTTTTCTTTTTTAAAGGAGAACAACTCCTGAAAATCCTCTGTGTCCTTCAGACTTTACTGCCCTCCATCTTAAAACATAAAACCAGTTCATCAGTTAAAACAAGTGAATTGTTCCTGCTAGTTTGAGTGTTTCCACCGAGCTTCGGCTACTTCCTCGGTCTGTCTTGCTGCACACCAGTGATCGTCCAGCTCAGTGTAGGTGTCAACCAGGGCTGAGTCCGAGCAGCTCAGGCTGGACACCTTCCGCCCCCTGCTGGCACAACTGCAGACACCAACATCTTTTACTGACGCTGTTGCTTGTGTCGGGCCAAAGGATGTGATATAACCGCTTGACCTGGAAAACACTCAGCTCAGGTTGTTTCCTCAAATCTTGGAGCTCTTATTGATTCAAAATAAACAAAATCTTGTCGTGTTTCAGTTCCTCTAGTAGGAGATGGTGAAGTTTAGCCTCCAGGTTAGATCGTGTCTCGACGGACCAGGGTCTCATACACACAGGGCTTAAAGTGGGAAAAAAATCCTGAGCCTGAAACTTTTTTTGTGGTGCTGATAGAATAAAACCGTGACATATTGCCAACGTTCATTAAAAATGCTCTTAAAAGTGCAAACAACTTATTTTAACAACAAATTTCAAGTAACAATGACTTCAATGAGGTTTCAATGTATTTGAACTTAAACAACGTATGTGCCCCAGAGTACTGCCCCGCAGCAATAAAACTCAAAAAGACTCACCACATTGAACAGACACATTTCAGTCAATTAATTTGCAATAAATTTAGAATACTCAATATCACAATCTGAAAGGAAGTTCCGCAGAGCTGGTTTTAGGACTCCCAGCATTCTAAATAACTTTCAGAGTAGGAGCTGGAGTCATATCACAGCATTAGCACAAAGATGTTCTGTGCAGTGAAAATGTTTTTTGTGAACACAGACTGTTTAAACATAGATGAAAATGTCTTACCAGCATTGGCGTCAAAAGCATTTGTAAGGGGCGGGAGGCAGACACACTGGTGGGGGGGGTCTGGGGGGTCCTCCCCCAGAAAATTCTGAATAAAGTAGATGCCATTTCCTGTATTCTGGTGTATTTTAAGGGGTTAATCATCTATGTTTACCTACATAAGTAACTTGATTCAATAACTATTTTAAAGAGCAACAGGAAATAGCCTGACCAACAGCTCTCCTTGTGTGAATAGAGCACGCTCTGTTAACCTCGAGCATCCTAACACCCTCACCCCGGTTGACAACTGTCGGCACTAACAGCGCTAAGATAGCATACCACACAGAAGCGTCTCCCTCTCCTCCCCCCCACCCTGTCCACAAAACCCCCCTGAGAGATGAGTGTCCCCTGCCAAGACAAGTACCCTGGAGGAAAACTGCATGCAAAATTGATGCGATGCTGCTTACCAGCATCACAGGCAGCTTCTCGCTGTAACTTGAGATTTGACTTTTTTCAGAAAAAAAAGACGTGGCGTGGATTATTTATCATAACTCTGAGTTTACTTGGCCTATCATCAACGCAATTTAAAAACAGTTTCAAATCTGTAGTTTTGACACGAATTTAAAGGGAGTCGCTGAGATGCTGTGTCTTTCCAGCTAGAGACTGAACTCAGTCATTTGACTGCGCTTCGATTCGCTCCAAAGGGGGGACGAATTGTCAGAGTAGGAGGTGCCGGACACTTGCTTGCTTTTCTAAGACCTGCCTTCCTGTTAGTAATTGGTCAAGATAACACGAGCTTCAATGTGATTGGATGTAATCCCTGTCTATCAACCAAAGTTAAGTTGAGGCGGACCGGCAGGCTGTCTCCAAGCCGGAAATCTGGCCCCTGGCTGGACCGCTTTAAGCCCTGTATACAGTAATGAGGCTGTTGCTCCAGTCTTTTGTGGTAGAGAAGGAGTTGGACCAAAAGTCAAAGCTCTTGATTTTCATAGTCTCACTACTAACGCATTAATAAAAACGCATTTTTCAATTCAAGTATAAGTACTTACATTTGAGTACGTGCTGGTACAGAGCACCGGTAAGTACAAATATATGTTGTGACACTTCATACAATCAGTAGAAGCTCAAATTAGCTATTTGATCTGTTTCAACAGGGGATTTCTTTGTAAAATTCACATTTTGGACACATTTCCTGTTTGGGGGAGAAAAAAAAATTAGCATAACAAAAAAAAAGTTCAGACTGTTTACGATCACAGTCACCGTCTTTTAGTACAACGCAGGCATTGTTGCTCCCTAAGAACGTTGCTAAAATATTCAACTTAAACAATATTTGGAAAAGACTAAAGTAATGTACGGAGTTTCTGTTAAAAACATCCAGCTCGCAGCAGCACAAGAGAAAGAAAAAACAACAACTATAAAGTCAAAGTTTTGCAGCGTTAGCTTAGCATTAGCGTAGCACCTTACTTTGTGGTTGTGTTGCAGCTGCTACTTGTTAAGCAGCTCATTAAGCATCTTCTTAAGCAGCTTCCAGGCTCGTTAGCGGTGGAATGCTCCCATAAGCTCCACCTGTTTTGGTCATATCCCAGTGTCTTCCCCTGATGGTAGCAGCCGATCTGGCTTGTTGCTAACTCGTCAGCTCAGCCGTCGATGGCTCCAACACCGCTCCCATGCTTTCCAACAATGTCCTTTTTCGTCACAGTGATGATGATGATGATTTAGGAGGCTTTTGTCCTCTTGCTAGAAAACGAGCGCTATGATTGTCGAGAAGCTCCGTTTTACCTAAAGCCCCCATCTCCTCCATCCTTCACTTAGAAAAACCTTCACTTGGCTGCTTCTTCTTCGTGGTTCTGATGATTATCGAACAACTTCTTGTAGCATCGTCAGCACCAACCGATAAAAAGTGGATCAGGATAGCCAGCTAAAGAAAATAAATAAAATAGTTCAACATGGCTGACGTTGCGCCTCCTCTTAAAGCCTTAACGTAACATTGGAACACTTTTCTGAGTACTCGTGTAGTATCATGGCATCGGTGCACACCTCCCATCTAAACTGTTCTAGCTCTAACCTGTGGTCAGGAGGTTTGGGTCATGACCAGAAGAGGAGGTGAGGTGGCCAAGCTCAGGCTTGGAGAGTTAAGGAGCTCCGTCATCCTGGAGGAGCTTGGAGTAGAGCCGCCGCTCCTCCTCCTCATCTAAACGAGTCAGCTGAGGTGGTTCGAGTGCCTTGGTTTCTTTCTGGAGGTTTTCTGCTGCACAACTCGTAGTGTTGTCGAACTTCGTTACCGAAAGGAGCCAAAATTTAAAAACTCATTTCCTTCACAACACAAACATTAGGTAGAGAAACTGGACCAACGATGGACCTGAATCTTCACTGATGTGTTGATGGTGACAGTAGTGACATCTTTGCTGGTTTGCTGCTCACAGATGTTATTTATAACAGGCTCCATCGGTCGAGACGAGATGTGCTTTTTACAGTCCCGGCATCGGGTGCTGATGTAACGCTGGTCCGCAGGCCGCCCGTTTGTTTTCACCGAGCAGAAGATGCTGATCTCAGTCGCTTCGGGAGTGGGAGGAGACGAGAACAAGTTATTTCAGACGCTGCACCCAGCGCATGTGGGCGTGCGTGGGGGTGGACTCTGTAATGCAGATTGTCTCCTGCACATAAACGCACGAGGCGTGTGGGAGACGAGCTTCTCACCGTGCTGCAGAGTGCAGAGACACTGGCTCTCAGCCATCAGCTTCCGCGGTTAAACATTTAAAAACATTTTAAAATAATAAAGTTTTTAGACTTTTAGCCATATATTGATGGAAAACCTGCATCTTCAAAGCCGAGGCATAAGGGTTGTATTTTTATGTTTGTTTTCAGGACCTCAACAAGCGCCTGTCTCTGCCCGCTGACATCAGGATTCCCGACGGTTACTTGGAGAAGCTGCAGCTCAGCAGCCCGCCGTTCGACCAGCCGCTCAGCCGACGCTCCCGCCGAGCCTCGCTGGTCAGTCGCTGCGCCTCCACGTTGTTTTGTTGTTGTTGTTTTCTTTTTTTTTTTGTATTGCTTTGCAGCACTTTGCAGAGCCTTATTACCAAGAACACCCTCTGTGCTGGTTTCCATGGCAACTGGCCCAGGGAGAGCCAAGGATGGATTCATCTGGAGTCGACACCTCCCACTTCATGCCCATCAGATTAGATCATAAAACTCTGCCGGGGTGAGACTGTGCAGCTTTGTTGCAGTCTGACGCAGAGATTCATGGGAAATGGAGTCCTGCCAGCTGTGGAGAAAATAAAATGAAAAAGTTCAAGCATCATTTCACATTTATCCCCTTCTTGTAGTTCAGTCTGTTTCTGGTCGCCTGCTGGTTAAATCTGTCCTGATTAGTTATAAATAGCACAATTAAAAACCTCCAGCTGCTGCTTTTGGTGAGGGTTTTAATGAATTGTTAGTTTTATTCCTTAAATTGCTCGTTAACGTGTTTAATTGTGGATTTTCATGGACGGATGACGCAGTCTGGCCTCCCCCTTACGTGTTTTATCTTTTGAATTTAAGCAAACTGTCATTAAATGTTCTATTAGTTTATTGAATTAAACTTATGATCTGAAGTTCCAGCATGCCTTGACGGTAACACAAATCCTGCTGTTTTAAACAAATATCACTTTTCAATGTTGCATTACGACAGATTTATGGCCATTTCAGTCAAATCTTTAAATTAATGTTACCCAGGAACTTCTTTGACTCGTTAGCACTCAGAGTATGTGTTGGGATTACCCTCAGCTACTACTCACCAAATTTCAGCTCAATGTTTGTAATCTGGACTGAGTTATAATCTGTTGGTGTTGTCTAAGTTCAGCTGCTGCTGGCAACTATCCAAATCAAGTGGGCTTCAATAATGAATCTGTCGGAGACGTACGTTTGATCCACGTTAACTGAATCTCATTTAAGTCCGTCCAACGCTTCATGAGATATTTTGCTAACGGACGCAAGAACACACAAGCAAAACGTTTATCTTGATCTATGTTCAAAATAAATTATTAGATTTTATTTTTTTCATTCAACATTTATTTAGACAGGTAAATCCCATTGAGCCTCGAGGACTCTTTTACAAGAGAGACCTGTTCACGTTATTAAAAGGTGTGTTTTTATTCACCTCTCTGCAACAGCTTAATAATAATCCAATTAGGCCTGTCACAATAACAAATTTTGCTGGGCGATAAATTGTCTAAAAAATTATTGCGATAAACGATAATATTGTTTGAAATTTGACAATAATTAGTAATTATTATTAATTAATAATTAGCAATCGTCAAATTTGAGAAGAAATGTTTAATTTTGTGTGTAGTACTTTTATTGACCACTGGATGGCAGTATAAGACTGTTTGAACTGAAGGATGGATAGTGAGGGAGCGAGTAGCGTGTCTCTTTAAGAAAAATGAGAGGGAGGCCCCTTGACATGACGTGGGCTGCCTCTCGTTCCTGTTGTTCGATTCTCAAAATGGTGGACACTTGTTGCGGTTTGAGTTCTTTAGCATAACATTTTTCACTCAAAGCTTTTAATAAAAAAAAAAAAAACAAGTTCTTAGGTTCTTGGGTTTCAACCGTGAATTTTGGAGCTTTGACAAGACGGCGGTTTTTTCGCCCGAGGTCGGCCCGTTAGCTTAGCTTGTAGCTTAGCTGCTTTTAACGATCCAAAAACACGAATTTGGACGATTAAAATGGATTTTAAAGAGAAAAGAGAAAGGTGGGTGTCAGTGAAGAGCACCGGAGTTGAGCCTTTTGTCATCCAGTGTCTTCAGTAGAAAGAGAGACACGAAGAAACGATAATGCTGATAAATGAAAATGAGGTCGATAATTTTCATTTATCATGCGATTAATTGATTTATTGTTTATCACAACAGGCCTATAGGATCAAAATGAATCTCTGCAGGTCTCTGTAGTTGCCTTACAAACTGAAATTAAAAAAAGATTTTTGTTGTGGAACCTTTGGGTGAATCTTGGGTACATCCCCGCAGCATGATGCTGCCACCACTGTGCTTCACTGTGGGGATGGTGTTCAGGTGGTGGTGAAAGGCGAACCAAATAGTTCACGTTTAGCCTCGTTAGACCACAACTCCTTCATCCACGTGTTCCAGTTTGACTTCTGGAACGTTTCAACAGGTTGCCTTATATCCATCTTTAAGCAACGTTGTCTTTTCTGTCCACTTTTCCATGAAGCCAAGCTTTGTGCAACTTCTAGTGTCCCTAGGTGTCCATCTCCATCTGATCCTGCTGATCTGTAGTCGGGTCATGGAGGCAGCAGGTCTGGGAGAGAAACCCAGACCTCCCTCTTCTTAGAGACACTCTCCAGCTCCTAAGGTGTTCCCAGGCCAGAGATGACAGTTCTTCCAGTGAGTTCTGGGTCCTCCCCTGAACCTCTTACCAGTGGTACAAGCCTGGAAAACCTCCAAAAGGAGGTGTCCAGGAGGCGTCCTTATGAGATGAACCTCCTCAACTGACGCCTTTCGATGCAGAGGAGCAGCAGCTCTAGTCCGAGCTCCCCCCGGATGACGGAGCTCCTCGCCTTATTTCTAAGGCTTCCTAAGAAGGAAGCTCATTTCAGGCACTTTAGTCCAGTCCTGATCCAAACCTCATGACCACAGGTGAGGGTTGGAACGTAGACAGACCTGTAAATCACGACTGACCGAAGCAACGCCCTCATTACTGAGGACGAGGCTCCGACCCATCTCCCACTTCATCCCAGTTCTTATGATCCAGGTATGCAAAAGTTGGGTGAATACTTTTGCAACCACTGTGTTTGTCTGTAACTGGTCCTGGTCTGTTCCTGGTCTATAACTGATCCTGGTTTGTTCCTGGTCTATAACTGATCCTGGTCTGTTCCTGGTCTATAACTGATCCTGGTTTGTTCCTGGTCTATAACTGGTCCTGGTCTGTTCCTGGTCTATAACTGGTCCTGGTCTGTTTCTGGTCTATAACTGGTCCTGGTTTGTTCCTGGTCTATAACTGATCCTGGTTTGTTCCTGGTCTATAACTGGTCCTAGTCTGTTCCTGGTCTATAACTGATCCTGGTTTGTTCCTGGTCTATAACTGGTCCTGGTTTGTTCCTGGTCTATAACTGGTCCTGGTCTGTTCCTGGTCTATAACTGGTCCTGGTCTGTTCCTGGTCTATTCCTGGTCCAGGTCTATTCCTGTCCTGGTGTTTCATCCGGTGGTGTCAATGAGGCTTTTGTGTAACTTTCATGTGTGTAAAGTATCTTTTTATAAAAGTCCTTCCGACTGTAACAATTATTTAGCATTACCCACTTCCACTGGTGGACCTTTAAATAATTATGAAGCGTGAGTTTGACTCGTTCTTTTGTCTCCTCCTCAGTCTGAGATCGGTTTTGGGAAGTTGGAGACGTACATTAAGCTGGACAAGCTGGGAGAGGTGAGAAAGTTTTAAAACACTTGTAGCTCCGCCTCCGAGCACAGCCTAACCTCACCTGAACAATGCTGCGTTTAGGGAACGTACGCCACGGTGTTTAAGGGGCGCAGCAAGCTGACGGACAACCTGGTGGCGCTGAAGGAGATCCGACTGGAGCACGAAGAAGGAGCCCCGTGCACCGCCATCAGAGAAGGTGCTCAGCTAGTCTTTATTTTAGTGAGCAAAACTTTAATTTACCAATAAACACCGTGTTTCTCATCATTGTGTGCGTCTGTAGTGTCTCTACTAAAGGACCTGAAACACGCCAACATCGTGACGCTACACGACATCGTCCACACCGACAAGAGCCTCACGCTCGTCTTCGAGTACCTGGTGAGAATAAAACCCAACTTTGACACGTTGAAATCTGATTTCACCGATCTGGAAGAAATGATGTCGTGCTCAGGCTGTGTCCGGGGGTGACTCTCCGCTACTACCACATCATTGTTTTACATTTTTAAACTCCCGTCGAAAAGTGCACCCATTACTCTGTCTAAACTCTCTATTGTCCTGCACATAACCTCTGAGCCGCTCGAGACAATTTAATGAAGCTTGAAATACCAGATGGAGCGTCACGTACATGTTTCATCACCTCAGCTCCAAGGTCAAGGTCACAACTCAATTCAGCCTTTATTTATACAAGTCAGTCTCACGGAGTCACGAGGACTCATTTATAAGAGAGACCTGATTTAGACGGACAATGTACAGTGCACAGACAACAATAAACTACAACAAAATGCAATTAAAACAAAAAAAAGTATTTTAAAACAATAAAATCAAGGTGCCTTATAAAACAAGGTTAAATACTAAAAACGAACATATTTGCATTGATTTCTTTATAGACCTTATCACTAGTTTAAAATTCCTTAGAGAGGTCAAAGTCGACTACTTCAGGTCTTTTAGCAAGATATTCCAGGAAACAGGAGCAGAGTAAGAAAAGGCCTTTTTGCAGAGTTCGGTCCTCACTGAGGGGACGCTGCAGGTAATGAAGGCCTGAGAGCGCATGTTGTGACTGCACTGACGACGTGACATGTAGGAGGAGATATAAGAAGGTAGGAGACCAAGGAGTGATAGATGAAAATGAACCAGTGTGAGAGCCTGTGTATAGATAATGATGTACAGTTAACCATTGAATACAGGGTGCAGTGATGGGTACAGTAGTTACGGCCAGTTATGATTCTTAGCTCACCATGGTAGACGGCATCCAACATCTGTAAGGAGCTCGTAGGGGCATTCATGTAAATAATGTCGCCATAGTCAGTGGCCGGTAGGAAGGTAGCAGTTACAAGGTGCTTTCTGGTATTCAGAGTTAAACTAGATCTATTTCTGAAAAAGAAACCCAATTTTAATTTTAGTTTCTTTATCAAGTTTTTGACATGTGGCTTAAAAGAGAGATGTGCATCAACTAAAATTCCCAAGTATTTCTAAGAATCTACAAACTCAATAGGAACACCATGTATGGATGAGATATGAAGAACTGCTGGCACCAACTTTCTGTTTGAAAACAACATCCCTTTGGTTTTATCAGCGTTTAGCACCTGCTTGAGACAGAATAAGTCAGACTGGATGATGTCAAATGCAGACTGTAGAAGCTAGAAAACCTTGGCTACTGTGTTAGCTCGACAATAAACAACAGTATCGTCGGCATAGAGATGCAAGGAGGCGTCAGGAATGTTTTGACCTACATGTCTCACTCGTTTTACAATTTTATTAAATTGTAAAAAGAGTGGGTCCTAAAACTGAGCCTTGTGGTACACCATTAGTGACTGTTAGGTAGCTAGATGAAGTACCGTTATGTCGAACACATTGTCTCCAACCTGAGAGATAGTTAAAAAAAAAAAAACTGTGATCTGAGAAACCAATGTCTGAGAGCTTATCACATAAGATGTCATGATCTACAGCAGCGGTTCCCAAACTTTTCCATGCCATGGCCCCCCAAACAGCATTAGCTTCTGGCTGAGACACCCCACCCCCCCAAACCCACAAACAATGCTACAAAATATGTAAAGAAACATCAACTTTTAGAATGTTTGAACTTTTATTCACTATATTCAATAAATTATTACAGCTGCTGAGCATAAAAATGTTATTAACCAACATGTTTTAAGATTGCCCTAGTGTGCATTTTTTATTATTATTATTACTATTTTTTTATTTTTGGTTGATTATATCTTATTCTCTCCATCATTCTGGGGGCCTCCTAGCGCCCCCCTGGCGGCCCCCACTTTGAAAAACACTGATCTACAGTATCTAAGGCTTTGGACAGGTCTAATAAAGTGCAGCACAGCAATCCTTACCGTCCAATGCTTCAACAACATCATTAAATAAACTTTAGCGAATCACAAATCAAGGTCAAAGTTAAGGTCGTTGCTCGTTCGGGTCATTGCTACAGTTTCTCGACAGTCGTGTAACGTGCGGCACGCTTGTTGATTTCTACACTTGCTTTTATTTTCCTCGTCTAGTAAAGTAGGTCAGTGAGGACTTCCTGCAGAATTGTATCGAGGCTGAAGGTTTTAGTTTAAAGGTGAATTTTGTGTCTCGTAGGATAAAGATCTGAAGCAGTACATGGACGACTGCGGGAACATCATGAGCATGCACAACGTGAAGGTGAGGGTGAAGTGTCTCCTGCTCTGAGCGCTCTCTGTGCTATGGACCAAATAAGTCATTCAAACGTGTTTTTCCAGATCTTCCTGTTCCAGATTTTGCGAGGGCTGTCGTATTGTCACAAAAGGAAAGTCCTCCACAGGGACCTAAAGCCCCAGAACCTCCTCATCAACGAGCGAGGGGAGCTCAAACTAGCTGATTTTGGTAAGATCAGCTGAAGCTGCAGCTCTTTGTGTCAGGCAGCGGCGACTTTATCGTTTGCTGTCAGAATCCTTACCTTTGTGTCTGTGCAGGTCTAGCGAGGGCCAAGTCTGTCCCGACTAAAACCTACTCCAACGAGGTGGTGACTCTTTGGTACCGGCCTCCAGACGTTCTGCTGGGATCCTCAGAGTACTCGACACAGATTGACATGTGGTACGAAGCTCTAAATCCAGATTGAAACAGTGAAAATGTTCTGAGCGTCTTTAACCTCAACAGATTCCACCGGGTCATGATTTATTAAACAAAACGTTAAACTCGAGTTGAAACTGTGTCCATCAGCTGATCCAGCAGTCTGTAGAGGAACTCTCACTGGCTCTCTGGATCAGTCTCTTGTGGATGTGGAGGAATTTGGCTCACTCTCCATTCCATTGTAGGTTTCTGCGCTCCGAACACACTTTTTATTCAAGTCCAGGTTCTGGACTCTGATTGGACCTTTGTGGTTCTTTTCCTTTTGACCCGTTCTGTTGTAGATCAGCTGTTGTGTGACCCAGTTTGGTCCAAGCTTCAGCTGTTCTAGAACGCTTTGGTCTCAGGAGCCCAAACCATCAGCCCTCCTGGAGACCTGTCATGGGTGTCCCCCGCCTCTCGCACAGTGACTGCTGGACATGAGCACCAGTGACCCCTGTGATCCGAAAATGAGGAAGTGGGTAAAGATGATGGATGGATCCAGGCTGAGCTTGTCCGCAGGCCGGATGTGGCCCCCGGGCCACCAGTTGAATAACACCGCACAAAGTTTTTGCCAGATTTTACCCATGAGCCCCAGGTGGTCAAAGCCTGCACTCGTTCAGGAGAGTCTGCAAACCTCGCTGGCACAAAAATCAGTTCATACGACAGTCGCAGTCGACACGTTTGGATTCATCGAGCCGACTGCGAACACGTGCTGCCAGCAGCCAACGGACACGAGGAGGAGGAATACAGCAGTCCCTCGCTACTCACAGTTCGTTTGTCGAGGACTCGTTCTATCGCGGCTTTTCAAAATAAGAGTGGACATGACATGCAATTGACTGATTGATGGATGAGCCGCACGATCGGCATGAAATTTTTATTTAAAATAAATTATTTAAAATTATTTGGCATCTCCTGCAGCTTTGTGCAGCTCACACTGCAGGATAAACTTCCTGCTGCAGCTGATCAGCTGATCAGTGTGCAGACTGAAGAAGTGGGCGTGGCCAAGAGCGCTTGCTCTTTTAGAGCTTTGGAGTTTAGAAACATTGCAAGAGTGTGGGAAGTCGTTTTAAACCCTTCCCACACTCTTGCAATGTTTCTAAACAATATTTCTAAACAACGTCATAATTTCAGCTCTTTGCCACTTGCAAGCGCTCTTGGCCACGCCCACTTCTCTGCTCTGCACGTTGAACAGCTGATCAGCTGCAGCAGGAAGTTTATCCTGCAGTGTGAGCTTCACAAAGCTGCAGGAGATGCTAAATAATTTAAAATAATTTATTTTAAATAAAACTTTCATGCCGATCGTGCGGCTCATCCATCAATCAGCCACTTGTGTATTTATATATACAGTGTGTGTGCATATATATATATATATATAAAATAAAGTACTATTTACTACTTGTACTACTATTCCTACGTCGTGGTTTTTCACTTATCGCGGGGCTTCAGGGTACAGATCTCCCACGATAAACGAGGGACTACTGTACAGGAAATGATGATGATGTCTTTCCACCTTGGCGTTGTTTTAACCCTTTCTTTTTTAGAGGTGGTCCCACTGGAGCCAGTTTTCCACTCACAGCTTCAACATGTTGTTCAATAAACAGACGAGGTGGAATCTGTTTTTGTTCTGATCAGTGACGCCTTAGATTTAACGGGTGCTGAAAAGACGTCACATTCCGACAGTGATGTTAGCTGAGAGCTCGTCTGATGTGTGTTTGCGTCTGCAGGGGGGTGGGCTGTATCTTCTACGAGATGGCTGCAGGTCGGCCTCTGTTCCCGGGCTCCACGGTCGAAGATGAGCTCCACCTAATTTTCAGGCTGCTGGGTGAGTGACTCTTGGCCGCAGACGCTCCAGCCGAGCTCGGCGGCTCGTCTGACTCGGCTGTGATTGTGTCGCTTCAGGCACGCCCGCCGAGGAGAACTGGCCGGGAATCTCCGCCATCGAAGAGTTCAAATCCTACAACTTCCCCAAATACAAACCGCAGCCGCTGATCAACCACGCCCCGAGGTGCAGAGCCCCTTCATCTGTTCAAACGTTTACCATCACCCCCCTCCTCTGATTCTTTTTACAGTAACTGTATGTTTGAGTGTGCAGGCAGGAAGTCCTGCAGAGCATTAGAGACGGCCGTCCACTTCCTCCCTCTCCTTTCACACGATTAACCGTTGCTCTTCTCGTCTTTAGGCTGGACGGTGACGGCATCGAGCTGCTGCTGTCCTTCCTCAGAGTGAGTCTCAAACACTGTCGCCCCAAAATTAGCTCAGATTTTGACCAAATAAACCGTCAAATAACAACATTCCTCATCACTTGTCTGTGGAGATCGTTTTGGTTTCTGTTGTTCCTTTGTTTTTTTGGTAAATATTTATGATGCAATAAAAAATAGAATAAAAAATCCCATGTGTAAACATCTAAATAAATTTCAATTAAATATAATCTAAGAGTATTCACCTACCTCTGTGTTTTCTCTGTTTTTTTTTTTTTGCCTCGCAGTTTGGAATTGAAATACATTTTCAAAAGTTACTTTTTAAGAAATAGAAGCCAAGGGATGCACGTCGTCCACCATTCCAGTTCAATCAAACTTATTTAAAAATGTTTGTGACCTGATTCAGCATCAAATTTAAATATTGATACTTGGTTTAGTTGAAGTCAGTTCCAGCTGTGGCCAGCAGGGGGCGCACTTCTGTCATTGATTATCCGCCCCAGTTGTTTGGAGAGAAGCCCCAGACACAATATTCTGCAGCTGCGGTGCCCAAACATCAGGCGGTTGATGTTTCCTGTGTTTCCTCCGCAGTACGAGTCCAAGGCGAGGGTTTCAGCCGACGAGGCGATGAAACATTCCTACTTCAGGCAGCTCGGGATGAGAGTGCACGCTCTGCCCGAGAGTGAGCGAGCGCACACACCGCCCTCCTCGGGCTTTCCTGCTGCTTTATTTTTGATCGTTTCCCGTTTCCTGCTGGAGCTGAAGCTGAACTTCCTGTGTTTCAGGTGTGTCCATGTTCACGTTAAAAGAAGTGCAGCTACAGAGAGACCCCGGCTACAGGAACTCCTCGTACCCAGAGTCAGGTGGGTGCCAAGCACGAGCAGAGGGTCCGACTGCCTCACGCTACCACAACAACAAACTGACATATCGAACCTTAATTTGCTCCTTAAAGTAACTTGAGATCGACAAACAGATTCTCTGTGTCTTATTTTGTGTCACAGCTGTGTCACATCTGTGTCACATCTGTGTCACATCTGTCATCTGGCAGCACTTCAGATGAAAATGATCAGAAAATGACTTTATTTACAATATTTACTCTTAAAAACACACACATCTCCAAGTCCTTCAAAAACATTATTCTGTTTATAAACTGCGCATAGCCGTCTGCTACTTTCAGATAGCATTTAGCTAGTATTAGCTTTTACCTGGCCTTTTTCTTTTAGCTGCTATCTAGTTTTGGAACATTTCCCTTTTGGCTTGTCATTTGATACTTCTAGCTTGTTGCTAGCCGATTTATACTTTAAGCTACTTTTTTGCTACTTGTAGCTAGCCTTATAAAACTTTCAGCTAACATTTTGATCACTTTTAGCTAGTATATATTTTTTTCTGTTAGCCTTAACAACTCAGTTTCAGTTTCTCGGCGTGGTCCGCAACCTTCAGCCTTTTTACTACATTTTGCATCTAACTAAACTTTTGATACTTTTAGCTTCTACCTAGCTTTTTAATGTTTTTAGCTTGTCGCTTGCCTTTCGATACATTTAGCTTGTAGTTAGCCTTTTATTTCCAGCTTCCTTTTTGAAAAATTTAGCCTGTAGCTAACCTTTTACTTCTTTTAGCTACCTTTTTGCTACTTGTAGCTAACCTTTTTTAATCTTTCAGCTAACATTTTGATAACTTTTAGCTAGTATTTTTTCTTTTAGCTTTAACAACTCAGTTTCTGTTTCTCGGCATGGTCAGCAACCTTCAGTTTTAGCAACCCTTTTTACTACTTTGTGCTTCTAGCTAAACTTTTCATTTAGCTTTTGCTTAACCTTTTAATGCTTTTAGCTTGTAGCTAGCCTTTTGATACATTTAGCTTGTAGCTAGCCTTTTGTTATTTCCAACTTCCTTTTTGCAAAATGTAGCCTGTAGCTACTCTTTTACTGCTTTTAGCTACCTTTTTGCTACTTGTAGCTAGCCTTTTTTAAAATTTCAGCTAACATGTTGCTAACTTTTAGCTAATATATATATTTTATTTTATTTTAGCTTTAACAACTCAGTTTCTGTTTCTCAGTTTGGTCAGCAAACTTCAGGAAAGCATTCAGCAGTTTTTGGCTAGGTTTTAGCAAGCCTTTTACCACTTTGTGCTTCTAGCTAACCTTTTGCTACTTTTAGCTTCTATCTAACATTTTAACAAGTTTAGCTTGTAGTTAACCTTTTGATACTTTTAGCTTCTATCTAACATTTTAATAAGTTTAGCTTGTAGTTAACCTTTTGACACTTTTAGCTTCTAGCTAACCTTTTGCTACTTTTAGCTTCTATCTAACATTTTAATAAGTTTAGCGTGTAGCTAACCTTTTGCTACTTTTAGCTTCTATCTAACACTTTAACAAGTTTAGCTTGTAGTTAACCTTTTGACACTTTTAGCTTCTAGTTAACCTTTTGCTACTTTTAGCTTCTACCTAATCTTTTAATGCATTTACCTTGTAGTTAGCCTTTTGATACTTTAGCTTGTAGCTAGCCTTTTGCTACTTCCAGCTTCCTTTTTGCAAAATGTAGCCTGTAGCTACCCTTTTACTGCTTTTAGCTACCTTTTTGCTACTTGTAGCTAGCCTTTTTGAAATGTTCCGCTAACATTTTTGATAACTTTTAGATATTTTTTAATTTTATTTTAACTTTAACTACTCAGTTTCTGTTTCTCAGTTTGGTCAGCAAATTTCATTTTTAGCATTCAGCACTTTTTGGCTAGGTTTTAGCAAGCCTTTTGCTACTTTTAGCTTCTGTCTAACCTTTTGCTACTTTTAGCTTCTAGCTAACCTTTTGATAGTTTTAGCTTCTACCTAATATTTAATGCTTTTAGCTTGTAGTTAGCCTTTTGCTACTTCCAGCATATCTTTTTTGCAAAGTGTAGCCTGTAGCTACCCTTTTACTGCTTTTAGCCAGTGTTGTATAAAGTACCTCGAAGTGATACTTCAGTGAAAGTACGAGTACGTTACCATAAAATTACTTTGGTAAAAGCTAAAGTTGCCTTTAATATTATTACTTAAGTAAAAGTCTTAAAAGTATCGGACATTTAATGTACTTATGTATCAAAAGTAAAATTATCTTCCAAAATGTACTTAAAGTAAGAGTATTAAGTAAAAGTAAATGGTTAGAATTTCCAAAACAACATTTATTGGGTACAATATCCAGTGACAAAAACTTGGAAAGTTTGAACTGAACAAAGAAAGATTGATCTTTAAAAAGTCTGATTCTAATGAATTATATTAATTTAACTTTTATTAACTTTTATTAACAAAGCAGTTAGAACGCTCACATTGTTGGCTTGTCTACTGAGCTACGTTCTGTTTGGTTATGGCTTGTTTCTTTCTGACTAATTAATAATATCGGATGTATTATATGATAATATAATACCATAGGAACTAATAGTTCTTATGCTCTTGAAGCAGTTCGTGTCCTGGAGAACACCAAACCTCCTTTTTAGCAGCTACCGTCATTTTCACACCTATCAGGAACGTGTCTCCACTGTGAGTCAACGATTATCTGTTGCAACGATTGATATCTGCACGTGCATCGAGCTTGTTCACAGCGGGAGCTGCAGGTTTCACACAAGCGGCGTGGGAGGGGCTGGGCTTGTGAGGGGCCGCATGAAGTGGGAGAACAAACAGGCGTTGCCCAATCAGATTTCTGTCTATTTTAAATTGTAGTAACTAAGAGGGTTAAGGGAAATGTATTGAAGTAAAAGTGAAAGTCGCTAGAAATGTAAATAATGAAGTAAAAATATGTCAAAATTTTACTTAAGTACAGTAACGAAGTATTTCTACTTTGTTACATTACAACACTGCTTTTAGCTACCTTTTTGCTACTTGTAGCCAAACTTTTGATAGCTTTTAGCTAACATTCTGCGTCTTTTAGCTTTAACTCAATTTCGGCTGTCTCAAAGTTCAGGAAAGTCCTTCAGCGCTCAGCGGTCTCGCTGCATTTTACAGAAAAGCTCTTTTTTTTTTTTTCTACATTTCTTGTCAACAAAAGCAGCAGAACTGGACTCCTCTGGTTCTGGACTCCTCTGGTTCTGTAGTTTGGTGCTCGTTGCTGCGTGAGGGGTGTCAACGTGTCAACGTTCGACTTCCTCCCACGTTTCCACTTGTGTCAACAAACCTCCATCGAACATCAACAAATCGTTTTCTCATTTTCAAACTTTAAAATGCTCCTTCCACAACCAGGTGTACTTGTTAAAATCAAATGTTTACATGTAAATCTTCTAGTGAGCTGTAAAAAACACCAGTCATTTAAATAAGTCTTAACCTGATGCATTGTGGGTAATGTATTTTATCACTTTTTTCTTCTTTTTTTTAGGTAACAGCGGCATCAACAGAAGGCAAAGCATGCTTTTCTAATGTTCCCCGAAGAGGAAGGTTTACTGACCAGCTTCACCTCCCGTCTCCTCTCAGACCCACTCCTACACACACACACACACACGCACACACACACACACACACACACACACCCCCTGATTGAATGACTGTGAGTTGAATCTGTTTGAAGACTGTTTATTTATTGGAGGGTGAGGTTGAAATATTTTGCTGCTAAACTACTACTGTCTATACGTAACACAACGCAAGTGTGTAAACGTGCGCACTCGTGCACAAGATGTGAACTGAAGGCGCCGTGCACAGCCGAGCAGTCGGTTACTGTCGTTTTTAGTTTGATTCCTGTTTGCGTCTTTGAACCAGCCGATGTGAGGCTGTGATGAAGACGTTCTCGTTGTTGTGACCTGAAACCAAACGTGTCGGTTCGTTTCTTTTTCCTTCGAGCTTCCAAGACTGAACTCTGCAACATTTCTGTATTTTAAAGCACTGCAACGCTAGACGGTGTTGTTGTGGCGATGGCGGGTTCAAATCATCGCTTTCCTTCCAACATTTCACTTGGACTTTGATTTCGCGAGGCGCCACCGCCGCTCTGAAAACCCCAGCATGGCGGTGCGTTCACAGACCCGCTCTGGCTCCCCGTCGGGACCAAAACCGAGTCGTGTGCGTGGGAAGAATCTGTTGGGAAAACTACCGGAGCACAGGAGTGAAAGATGAGGAGTGCCGGTGCTGCAACGGAAGCAATGCGACGTCCCGCAGGAAGCCAACAAACCCTCTCTGAAGCCCCCCCTCCCCAAAACTGCCAGGACTTCAGTGCAGAAGTTTTTCTTGCTCTGAGTGCGTTTAGAAACCTCCCTGACTTTTTTTATTTCAGACTCGCACACCGATGTTTCTTTGTTTTTCTCTTTTAATCAGGGACACGAGCCGAATCATGGCCGAGTTCAGCCGACAGTATTACGTTGTGTTGTGACCTTTGACCTCTCTTTGTGAAACAAACGTGTTCATGTGGCATGTTTTAATTCTTTATTCAGAGGGAGGGGAGGGTGCTCAAAACCAACGATGGTTTGGTCCCGCTTGGCGTCGGACCACTGCTCTCTGCAGGATTTCTACGACGAGAAGAGATTTCAAATTGAAATTTTAGATTTAAGCTCAACCTGTGTTGTTAGCAACTGAAAGTGACGTTACAGAACGTGAAAGTTAAATACGTGTTTACTGGAGCAACCAGAGGAGCTCCCTGGATCCATCTTAACGATACCTGCTAGTGTGGATTTCACTCCTGGCATCGACTGCAAAAAGTGTTTTATTATTTTTATAGAGAATGAAATATTAAAGCATTAAAACTGCAGATTTAGTCTAAAACATCGATACCATTTTCATATTTCAGTTCAAAATATGAAACCAATGCTAATATGCTAAGCCTCATTAGCACAAAGATTGGAGACGTCTGTATACTGTGGTCTGCAGAGATTATAAATGGAAAAACAATAATTTGTTTAAGACTCATCTAACTCTTGAGCCTGAGTCTCGTTAGGCTGAAATCGTCCTCAGCATTTCATTGTATTATTGACCTTGTGTTGATTTTACAAATGACTAATAAACCAAACCTGAACCAATCGTTGGCGACAAACTGCAAACAGCATTTGCAAAAGGTCATGAACGTGCATGTCAGGCTGCCTTCAGACCCAGGCCTCCTTTGCAAGAAAGATCTGTGATCTCAATGGGATTTGCCTGGTTAAATAAAGATTAATAATGAAATTTAAAAAATGAATTAATGACCAGCAGCACGGTGGCGCAACTGGTAGAGCTGCTGCCTCTCAGCGAGCAGGTCTCCGGTTCAAACCCCTTTCTGGGTGGAGTTTGCATGTTCTCTCCGTGCATGCGTGGGTTTTCTCCGGGTGCTCCGGTTTCCTCCCACAGACCAAAAACATGCATGTTAGGCTGATAGGTAACTCTAAATTGTCCCTAGGTGTGAGTGAGAGAGTGAATGGTTGTTTGTCTCATTTGTCTCTATGTGTCCCTGTGATGGACTTACGACCCGTCCAGGGTGTCCCCCGCCTCCCGCACAGCGATTGCTGGACATGGGCACCGGCGACCCCCATGACCCAAAATGGAAGAAGTGGGTAAAAGATAATGGATGAATGGAATTAATGACTTGCATCCTAACAATGGAACAAAACAGCAAATGCCTCAAACCTCTCTTTGTTTTGCAATGCTAACAAAAATAGAAACTGATATTTCCAAAAAGGCAACATACAGCACTGCTGTTTCTTCCAGTTCGTCACTAGTGGTTTTACAAAATTTGGGTGCTCGCTGTGGCAACACCTGAAAAGAAGGGAACAGCTGAAAGAAAGACGTTAATTTTGCCCAAAAGAGGGCGGCCCTAAAGCCCCAAATCTCTCATCTTGTTGTCCTTCTCTGTGTAGAAAAGCTAACGATAATTATATATTCATATATATATATATATATATATATATATATATATTCCAAAATGCAACCTAGAACCTTTTAGGCATGACACTACTGTGAGCAGCTATTTTTTTATTTTCTTGTCACTAGCAGTTCAACGTTTTTTTTGGTTTAACCCAAAAAAGGGGCGGAGCTACCACCTTATGTTACTGTATTTTTATATAATTGCCAATTTCTGTATATGGATGCTAACAGAAATACACACCGTTTTATTTCAAAATACAACACAGAACCTTTTAGACATGACATTTCTAGTATTTCCATTTTGTCACCAGCAGCTTTTTATAATTTGGATTTACCCAAAAAGGGGTGGGGCCATTTGGAAGGAGAGGGATATGATGTTTCTCTCTTCCAACAGTGAGCGCAGCTTAAAATCATTTTGCTACAAAATGTAATAGTCAAATGGGCAAAACGTTGTTTTTCCACCAAGAGCTCTGAAAATGCCAGGAGTGCATTAAACACTGAACGGTAAAAATTGTGTGTTCCAGGAGGATCTCAGGGAGGTTCTCTAGTTGCTGCAGCTCTTTGACTCAACATCATAAATGAAAAGTTTAAATTGTTAAAAGATTTCTGTGAGCAACACTAGTGTTCTGTTACAGCACACGCTAGAAAAAGTGCTTGAAGCACTTGTAAGGCTTGAGTAACTTAACTAAAATCATTAATGTAATAATATTAACGTTAACACAGTTTGCAGCTGGAGTGCAAATGTTATTTCTTTTCATTCTGAGTTATTTTACACCGACCTCAGCACAAATTGTGATCAAATCTAGCTGTGACATGCTGTAAACAGGAAACATCATTATATTAATGGTTAATATCCTGCATTATGTTGACTTATTGTCATGCAAGAGCCTAGTGGCATAATTTATTCCAGACGTTCTGTATCTGCACGTTTTATGAAAAAGAAATAAATGTAGAATATACTTTTAATCCAAACTTAAGGATTATTTCACTCTGAACTGCAAACTGTGTTTCTGTTAACTGGACTTTTTGTACATGAGCAGCAGTAACATGCACAGATTTACAAAGCTTAATATTTATCATTGTAAAACTGTACTTTTTCAAATGTGTGACTGACCGAAGTTCATGTAATGTTATGTCCGCGCGCGTGTGTGAATGTGTGTGTGCGTGCCTGATGCATGGAAAGCCTGCTGTGTTGTGAACTCGACCTCTGAAACACTGAGCTGCCAGTGAACAGCCGACGTGACTCTTTTTACTGGAACTATTTATTTCTCATAACCATCGGAAGTAAATTTAAACTGTTTCATAAACCTGTGTTTGCATTCATTCTTTCAAATAAATAAATGAAATCCCCGACAGATTAATATGGTACGACAACAAATAAAATGTAATTTATTTTTAAAATTGCAACAAAAATGTCACCAGAAGGTTTTTTTTTTTCTTTTTACAATCAACTACTAAAATGTAATTTTCTTTTTTACCTGGATTGAATTTTAAAGCTTTTATTTACAAAAATCTAACATTTTAGAAGCTACAGGTTGAGGGACGGTTCAAATATTTTGAATAGGAGATTTGTGGTAAGTTAATAATGACTATCTTACCTGTTGTAGATTATTTGAACAACCTCAGTTTAGAATAATATTTTTAATATAATTGGATTAATGAGCTAAAGGCTAGTCCAAAGCAAATTGCGTCTCTTAAAACAGCTTCAATCATTAAAGTTTTATGGCAGTTCATGCGAACGATTAAAAATTTGACACCTCTGTCAGTTTTGCATTAAATGGTTACACATTTGTAAACGCTTTCTGTGCAGCCTAAAGCACTTCCTGCAGGAATATTGTAATATCTCAGCTGGAAAAGCAATGTACAGCAAAACTGATGGTATAAATGCTTCTAAAATACATGAAGCAATATAAAAATTTAATTATTTGAGGACAGCACATTGAAGAGCTAATTGCTAATCCAAGAAAGTTTTCGTCTTCATTAAAACAACTTAAAAATTTCAAAATTTTGCTCATTCAAACTTTGATTTAAAAACCTCTCCACCTCTGTCAGTTTTGTTTTCTATGGCTATTCTAACAGAAAAATCCTACTCCTGCTGGAAGTTTTGTGGTTGGCACCGAATGTGCTATGGCTAGCTTTAACAGTTATAATGTGAAATAACCATAGAATTCCCTGTATTTAACTAATGACAATGTAAAGGTTCATAAAATAGCATTGCATTAATTATATAAAATGTTTTGAGGTTGAAGTTTTTTTTAAGACTGCTGCAAACCACTTTGGACTTAGCCTCGCTCAGACTAGCCATTAGCTTGTTGATCCGGTCAGAGTTAAACTATCTCTCTAAACTGAAGTTATTCAAAAAGCTATTTTCACCAAATAAACTATTAATTATCCATAAACTTTCCACAAAACGGCACTGCAAAATGAACAAACCTTACCTTCAAAATTACAGCACTTTAGCACATAAGAAAAATACAGAAATAAATGTGGAGAAACGATGTCTCTTGAATCCTCTGGCTAGCAGGCACATTGCTAGGAGTTGTTTGTGGTTCATCTTAAAAACAAACTTTTGTACTTAACCAAAAGAAACCCAACCTAAATCCTGAGTTCTACAACATTCAATATGGTAAAAACCTTCACAATAAAGTTATTGTGTTAACTAAAAAGAGCGGGAAAAAGGTGTATCTTTACTCTCAATATATTTGTTTCCATTGCTTCTTATTATCCAGTTATGGTCCCAAACAAGAAGTTTAGATAGTTTCTTTAAGATTTTAGGACACGTGATTTGAATTTTCAGCTTGTAAATAAAACAAACATGTTATAAATAGGAAGTTGAAACCAGTTAGCTTAGCTTAGCTTGAAAATTAAAAGTAGCGGGAAACTGCCATTTTGTTCTTCAAATGTTACTCAGTTGACCTACCAGGACCTCTAGCAACCTTGTGTTTGCTTGTATTAAGATTTTTATCATATAAACTTAAAAATGTGTAGAATACTAAATTTTGGGCCACAAAAAAAAATTAATATAGCACAATAAACAAACAAAGTTGTGGTAATATAAATCTATTGACTCATTCTACTCTAATCGGTCCTGTGGATCTTGGCTCAGGCATCTGGTTTTGGTAGGTTAGGGGGAGTTTCCACAGTTCTTGATCACACCTGTTAACTCTTCTGGCTCAATGAGATTTAGTTTTTTCCAAAACGAAGTTGAGGATTTCATCAGATCTTCATCTGACTCGGATGCCTCGATGCTCAAATTGGCAGCTGGCGTTCAAATTATACAAGCAGGTTTTTTGTGACCGAGTTAAAAAAAGGAGATCATGAGGTCAGACCTCCAGTTGGTTTCATTACGTTCGAAGAAGTTCAGAGATTTCAGGATAACCCTGAAACAAATAGAAGATGATCCCTACTAAGTTTCAGACTGAAGCTCCATCTTCTGGAATAAAGATCTCAAATCAAAATGTAACTTCAAGAGTCCAAGTCGACTTTAGTTCATTTAAGTTCAATGACTCTTTGGTCTGTACTGATCTGGTCGAGCTCAGCAACTTGCAGCTCCAGTTTGCTCAGAAGGCCGAGGCTGGCATCAGGACTTGTGGGACGTGGAGGACAGCAGCAGAGGAGGAGCGTCCACGCTGGGTGGAGCTACAGGAAAATGTCCATTCAGCAGCGTGGGGAACTGCAGGAGCACAGGTAGATGTAAACATAACCACAAATTGTAGCATTTAACACATTTCATTTAAGAAATCCTCTTTTGGTTCTTTTTTATCTTTTAATATTCAGGAAATATTGAAGTGCAAATGTTATAAAATGTATGAACGTCCTCTATTTTTTGACCTTACAAGTTGAAGTTTAAAATTATTTCTTAGAGATTGTGTCCTTCAGTTTGGACTGGTTTCTGCTTATATCCAGCACTGTGAATCAAATCAGATACTCTAAAACTTGGGTTTTGATTGGCCCATTCCTGGACCTTTAACTGGTTCTCCTTAAACCAGTTTTCAGAGTCCTTGTCCTGCTGGAAGATGGCCCTTGGTCCCAGCTTCAAAAATCTATCAAACACCAAATTCCTTTCAAAGATTTCTGTTTTGTGCCTTATATCTTTCCCTGAATTCTGACTTGTTTCCCAGTTTTGCTGATGAAAAACATCCCCACAGCATGATGCTGCCGCCACCGTGCTTCACAGTGGGGATGGTGTTCTCAGCACCATGAGAGTTGGTAGGTTTAACCCAAACATGGTGATGGCCAAAAAGTTCAACTGTGGTCTTATCTGAGCACAGCTCCTCCCACGTTTGGACAAGAAAGTCCTTATGGAGGCGCGCAGGAACTGATTGGTGCCTCAAAGAAGTACAAATGCACAAGGAGAGCACTTTCAGGGCAACACAAACTGATGACGAGCATTACCTGGAAACGCTGAGCGTGGTTTTGCAGTTGGGCGGGGCTCAGAGGTCCAACTGGACTCAGGTTGGACCAGAAGTGGAGGTTGGAGAGCAGAGGGCTGGGAGTGAGTAACAGACCAGATGGAGTCTGGATAGACCAAAACACAATTAAATTAAATATGAGATGAGGATTTTTTTTTTCTCTTCAACAACTAGGAGCTCAAATCTGAAGGTGAAACAACTTGTTCTATGACTCGTTTTTTACTTTAATATTTCTAGGTTTGGGTTTGCTACATGGATACATTTGCTCATATCAATGTCCTGATGCTCAATAATCCAGGTAGAAAAATCTATCAAGGTTAAGTCGGGTTCTATGGACAGATTACTTTTTGTTGAGCACGGGGCCGTGTAAGTAGTCAGCTTGCCAGAGTCTCGACCGTTATTGGAATCGTAGGAATATCGCTACAGAGACTTCAGCATATCGTCATTGAGACTCGAGAATATCGTTATCAAGACTCCAGAACATTGTTATTGAGACTCCGGCATGCTAACTAGTTACGCGGCCCCATGCTCAATAAAGAAGAATACGTCCAGAGGATCTGACTTAACCTTGATAAATTACTCAAATCAAGATTAGCCGTGCAACAATCTATAAGGAAGTCTTGTAAAAACTGGTTTTCAGGTGGGCCCTGGTCCCTTTAGTCCAGGGGTGTGCAGCATGTTTTCCAGAGAGCCATAATGTGTCTGTCTGTACCGGACCTGTTTTAGACCTTAATTGTTGGTATTTATATATTCTCTGTTATTTTTTAAAATCTTGTGTGATTCCTCGTGTACGTTCCTTTGTACTGAAACTCTGGCACAACAATTTCCTGCAGGATCAATAAAGTTCTATCTTATCTTATCTTATATTTAAAGGCAGATAATCTGGAACTGTTTTCTTGGCTTTTTTGAGTTGTAGCACAGTTTGCATGTTTGATAAAACCTGGCTCTTGTTTGTTAGATAAATTTTGCAAGTCAAATGTTGCATGTTTGCTTTTGGGAGTCCCAAAAGTTCAGATCAGCTTAAATAAAAGAAAAGAAAAAAGTTTTAGCCTATCTTCTGGCCAGAAAGAGATTGTCCATGGGCCACTTTTGGCCCTTGAGCCGTGTGTTGGCCACGCCTGCTTTAGACGTTAAAGTGCTGACTGTGAACTGTAAAAACAGCTGGATGTTGTTTATAACCCTGATCCGGTCTAAATGTCAGATTTGAGCTGAGCTGATATTATCCCCCACGCCATGGAAGATGGGTGATCATGTGTTTTTTTAGTTTCACCTCTGCAAACACGGTGAAACCAGCATTTCTTGAAGGAATTCCCATCAGGGCCTACAGTGAACCTGATGTAATGTGTGTAAACTCAATACGCTGAAAACTAACGGAGTTATTGTCGCTTTTGTGTTTGCTGAAGTCGATTGAACTGATCTGGGATCTGCTTCCTGTCCTGAACAGAAACCGTCAAACTGGACCTTGGAGCCGCAGCGAGCACACGGGACGTGACTTCAGGTTCAGAACTTGTCTGAATGTTTCTGAACCGCTCTCAGCTTTTCTTACGTACGGTTTGAACACGTAACTCGTTCTGTAATCTTTGTCCTGTTTCAACAAATCATACTTCAAAACGTTCGGCTCCTTCAGGACATTCCTGCTCTGACGTTTGGTATTTGTGCAATTGTAACTTTTGAAATAGTTAGCCTTTTCGGCCATGTTTTTCTCATTGAAAATGAACGGATCTCTTCAGGTCCTGCGAACATTTTTAGCTGTTTGAGACTTTTTACTTCTCGTTTCAGCTATTTTTCTGCTCCTTTTGGCTTCTATCTGCTAATTTCAGTCTTTTCAGCTACTTTTTATTCTCCTTTCAGCATATTTTGTTTTAGATTTTTCATCCTTCTTTTTTTTTTTTGCTCAGTTTATTTATTTATTTATTTATTTATTTATTTGCTAATTTCAGATTATTCAGCCTCTCCGCCTAGTTCAGTTTATTCTGCTACATTTCTGCTGTTTTCTGCTTTTAAGCTCCTTCTCTTGGCAAATCAAACTTATCTTGCGTTAACGTTTTAGCGAAGAAACTTTTTCAGCAGCTTTCAGCAACAATTGTTCAGCAAAAAGCACTCGTGCTGAAGCGCAAGTCCTCTGACTTCACCTTGGAAACAAATGAACAAATCTTTAAAAAAAATGTTTTGCCACATCGAGGGGATGATTGTTTGTGTCTGTGGTTTAAGCTCGGTGGGGTGAGATCACTCAGTCTGGATCAGAACCTCGGCTGAATGTCTGGAAGGAGTCGGCCCTGCTGCCAGAACGTCAGGAACATGTGGATCCACTTAAACCTCCTCCCTCCCTCCCTCCCTCCGTCCCCTCCCCTCTCCACCCCGTCCCTGTCTGACTTCCTGCATCCCAAATCTCTCCTCGTTTGTCTGCACGCACTTTGAGGGGGTTCAGTGGGGCCAGCACCCGTGTAATGGTTGTACCTGTGCAGTAAGAAAGGCAGGTGTGAGAGAGCCGGAGGGGAGGGCCGGGCTGTTGAGGGCGATGGAGACGAGGTCACTTCCTGTCAGGAGGAGCGAGGAGGCGGAGATCTCCAAGCCTTTGGGTTTCCTGCCTTTGCTCAGCGCTCTCCTCTCTGGTGTGACTGAGCTCTGCAGCTTCTCCCGCTGACCGTACGACAAGTTCAAAGGCTGACAGTTGGACTCGTCCGTATCTGGACACTGGCCCCGCCCCTTCGTCCACCTGTGGGCGGGGCTTCGTGGCAGCGACGAAGGGCTGGCTAGCCGAGGAGACCGTGCGAAGCTCTCAGCGGACCGAGAGGAGGAGCGGCCATCGTTGGTCACGTACTGGATGACGGAGGAGCTGTCGTCATGGCGATCAGATCCAGGCTCGGCTTTGATCGGCCGGTTTAAGGAGCTCGTGGTGAGAGAGGAGTAAAGCCCGGAGCGGAGGTGTTGCTCCGTCTCAACGTCGTCCTTGTCTTCAGCCTCAGGCTCCAACGTCGCCCCCCCGGTCTCCTCTGCGCTGCGACCCGACTCCACCGCAGCAGGGTCCATCTTCAGGATGTCCGGGAACGACACGAACCTGTAGACGAACTTCTGGCCGATCACCTTCTTGACGATGTTCTGCAGAAAGAATCGGACGTCAGTGAAGAGCAGAGAGACGCTGGAGGTGCAGACGGAGACGAATCCGTTCGTTTTGTTCAAGAACCACAAAAACTGACAAACGGAAAAATTTACTGGAAGTCAACAAATGAAACTCAGACAAAATAAAAATTAAAATTAAATACTGAAACTGAAACTCCTGATTTTATATTTTAATGCACAAACTTTTGAGACAACAACCAACTGACATCTGTAACTCTGACACTTCTGTACCTGTCCACAGGTGTTCTGGTCCAACACCTGTCCACAGGTGTCCTGGTCCACCACCTGTCCACAAGTGTCCTGGTCCACCACCTGTCCACAAGTGTTCTGGTCCGCCTGTGGACAGGTGTTCTGGTCCTCCTGTCCACAGGTGTTCTGGTCCTCCTGTCCACAGGTGTCCTGGTCCACCACCTGTCCACAGGTGTCCTGGTCCACCACCTGTCCACAGGTGTCCTGGTCCGCCTGTGGACAGGTGTTCTGGTCCTCCTGTCCACAGGTGTCCTGGTCCACCTGTGGACAGGTGTTCTGGTCCGCCTGTGAACAGGTGTTCTGGTCCGCCTGTGGACAGGTGTTCTGGTCCGCCTGTGGACAGGTGTTCTGGTCTGCCTGTGGACAGGTGTTCTGGTCTGCCTGTGGACAGGTGTTCTGGTCCACCTATCCACAGGTGTTCTGGTCTGCCTGTGGACAGGTGTTCTGGTCTGCCTGTGGACAGGTGTTCTGGTCCGCCTGTCCACAGGTGTTCTGGTCCGCCTGTCCACAGGTGTTCTGGTCCACCTGTCCACAGGTGTTCTGGTCCACCTGTCCACAGGTGTCCTGGTCCGCCTGTCCACAGGTGTCCTGGTCCGCCTGTCCACAGGTGTCCTGGTCCACCACCTTTCCACAGGTGTCCTGGTCCGCCTGTGGACAGGTGTTCTGGTCCTCCTGTCCACAGGTGTCCTGGTCCACCTGTGGACAGGTGTTCTGGTCCGCCTGTGGACAGGTGTTCTGGTCCGCCTGTGGACAGGTGTTCTGGTCTGCCTGTGGACAGGTGTTCTGGTCCGCCTGTGGACAGGTGTTCTGGTCCGCCTGTGGACAGGTGTTCTGGTC